CGCCACGGTCTTTGACCGTGCGGTGACGGACTTGCGATCAGAATTGGTTGCCAACCGCCGAGAGGTGGTCTTCTTCGAGCACTTCCACCTGGCCAAGCCGGACTCCCGTATAACGGTCCCGCCATTGAAGGACATGCACGTCTGTGCTGACACCGAGCGCGAGGAACCGCCAGACGTCCGGGGGGACGACGAACAGATCGTGTTGAGTGCTCCGCTGTTGGCCGCACATCAGGATCTTCTGTGTGCCGAGCCGGAGGAGCTGACCGACACCGATCGTGTCCTCTTCGACACGACACCTGGAGCCGAAAATGTTGTCCAGAGAACTGAGGACAACTCGGATCCCTCTGTGATGATCACCAAGCTCCAGATCGGCAGTCACGGTGAAGAGGCCGCGACTGATGAAGAGATTGCCTTGGCGAATGCCCTCGGCGTCTACGGTCTCGATCTGGAGATTGGTCGCACCTCTAACGAGGATGCTGAGTCTAACAAAATCTTCAAAGACATTGAGGAGCTCACTGAAGAAGAACTCAGCAAGCGGCCCCGATTCTACGCGAGGGGATCTGTCGGGATTCAGAATTTGATGAGGGAAATGCAGTTGGAGGAGGCCAAGAAACCACCTGTTCCTCCAAAGGCGCGGCCCGCTGACGCGGAGCCTAAGGCAACTGGTATCTTACCTTTGGCCACGAAGGCTCATGCTGTACCTCCTGCCGTGCCGCAGGCTGCATCCTCATCGTCGGCGTCTGGCACACTCCCGCCCAAGGAGGTTCCTGGGAAGTCTGCATCGTCTGGCGCAAAGCCTACTGAACCGTTGCAGCCACCGCCTCCTAAGAAGATGCCTATCACCGCTGTGAAATCGGCACCTACGCCGAAAGCGGAGCACGCTGCCAGTGCCAAGGCAGAAGCGTCACCTCCCGGAAGGAAGGGATGGTCAGTTTTGGTTGTCAGGCCCGGACCTGCCGCCCTTCGCGTCTGATCATCGACACCTCAGTGAGGGCCAGCGCTTCAAACTGGGCAAGAAGTGTGCATTCGTCCTCAGAGGCTTCACCAACAAGCCCGAGTACGGCAATAGAACGCCGACAGTGACGATCCGTCGGAACGACCTCTCGATGGACTGGGAAGAGTTCATCGATGCCCTTAGCCAGATTTGGAACGGGCTCAAGGTCTCCCAGATCTTCGAAGTCTTTAAGACTCCAGTCGACGGGAAAGCCCGCTACGAAGTTTACATTCAGAAGCACAATGATCAGGAATTTGACGTGCTTCGAGCTCGGGCTATCCATGGGCATTGGTCGGGGCTCTTCGGTGACGATACCGAACTCGCCGACATCCACTCCGTGGTGCATTCCTTTGTGCCATGGGACGCCAGTCTAGCGACTCGGCCTAAGATTCATCCGTTCGACATGTACTCCCAGGAGTTTGTCGATTTCCCTTGCAAACTGGGCTACCACGGCACCTTCATGAGGCACTTCCCAGATATCATCAGATACGGATTGTTGCCTGGTGGTGCCGCGCTCCACGAGAGTGGTAGCAGAGCTTTTGTCATGATGTCAAAGCAACCAGAATGGAAAAGGGATGACAATGCGGGCCTTCGCGAGGCGGCGGACGTCGAGTTCGCCATCGATCTCCAAATGGCCGTCTTGGACGGCGTCCGGCTCTTCGAGACTCGCTCCGGGGCACTGGAGACGCCAGATTGGATCAGCAATCGATATCTGGTTTACGCTTATCAGCGGGGCACAGCAGAGCCTGTGTGGGTCAATCCGGCCTACCAGGCGTTCCGTCGGAACATTGACTCCGCTCTAGCGAGCTGGAACAAGGATGGAAGCCACAAGTACATCTTTGGTCCAGATCAATTTGCCTTGGAGCAGCACAACTGTTTTCTCGACTTGTTGGAAAGCGCCGAGAATCTCACCATCGCTGAGTGGGCGCCGGTCGCAATCGACTGCAAGACCCCGTTTCGCATTTCGGCGGACATCTTGAGCGAGGTCGGCGAAGAAGTCATCGAGCGAAGGAAGAACGATGACCAGCTCATCGAAACATATGACGGCTCGCTCGGAATCGGCATCCACGTCTGGCCATCCATGGAAGGCAAGCGGATCCGACTTCGCCAGAGGATTGAACCGAGGCACTGGATCAAACAGGAGTTGGTACTCTACCCCGGGTACCATTGCAGCTCGTGCAATCACAAGTACATCGACGGAATGATCTCCTGTCCAGGTTGCCAACGTCGCCTCATCGAGATGACCGACCTTGCGATTATCGCCGAGCCCGACAGACTCCGGCGAAGCGCCGCCCGAGAGGGCAGGCAGGTCAACATCATTGACTTGCAGCCATCCTCGGGGCTCAAGCACGCGCGTGTGAAGATTCAAGGGCCAGAAGAAAGGGAACGAATCCAAAGCACAGCGTCTGGCATCCGCCAGAAGGTCCTCAATCAGCAGAAGAGAGCGGAGAAGCTCCACAACACCACTCCGCAGGGGCAATACAGTGTGGACCCCATCACTGCTCACAACTACGCCAAAATGGGTCTCAGCTTTCACACTGTCGAGGCGCTGCAACGCTTCGCTAACGTGAGGCTTCCTGATCCTCAGGGCAAAGGAAAAGGGCATGGTTCGTCCACCTACTATGATGCCACTGGAAAGGTTGCCCTCCTCTGGGTGACAGGCCAGCTTGAGATCGACCTCCTCACGGAGTGTCTGATTTGTTTTCATGATCGGTTTTACACCATCAATGAGATTGCAGTTCTCATCAAGGCTGTGAAGTCGAACCAGCATGAGTTTTCCATCCTGCAGTACGATGGGGAGAAATACATCGTCGTGCAGAATGAAATCTTGCCGATCATGGCCGAGCTGGCTACTTTCTTCAAGGCACAACTGCCGCTGAGCCGGACAAGGATCGAGAAGACAAATCCTTCTCTTCGCACCCAGAGAGATCTGCAGGTACCCGCTGAGGCACAGGGACTTGGCAAACGTCAGCTCAACGAGTTGCTGGCCAATACCCCTTACTATCGTCGGTACCAGCAGTACTACATGGACAAGCGCATCGGGGAGAGCGGCCACGTGAGGTTGACCACTTCGGCACCCGCGTCCGAACGTCGCCCACCTGAGCCTCCGGCATCTCCTGCACGACGAGGTCGCAGCTCTGACGAGCGTGCATCGGGTACAGCAGAGCGCAATCGCACAAGGTCCCCGATCGCCAGACATCGTCCGACCGAGGTCCACATCCGGACCAACCCTGGAGATGGAGCGGGCTCATCTACCGATCGCACCCCTCGGGAGCCTGCGATGCCGCCGCCCAGGCGTGTGGCACGTGATCCGTCCAGCTATATCAGTGACGCGGATTGGGATGCAATGCGTGCTGGTACAGGCTTCAGCAGTCCAGCACCGGAAACGGTTGCTCCCGATACCACTATGGATGGAACAGTGAGCGAGACACCGTCCTCTGCTGTTGATCTTGGCACAAGGCGCGAATGGTCCGAGACCTACCGCCGGCGACCCCATGATCCACCGACCTTCGGCGTGTTCTTCGAGACGAGAGATGTCTCCGACCGACAGGTCCGGATGCGTGAGACTGTTGTCAACTTCTTTGAGCAGCTCAGGGTCGCAGGATTGTTGTACCCAAACTTCGTGTTGGGGAACGATCTTTCCGGCAACATCATCGATCCTTCGCTTGCCAGGCGAATGGACTGGCACCGCGTTGACATGTACCAATGGGCGGTGTTCGCTGCGATGACCGAAGATTACATCCAGCCTACTTCAGTCGTGAATGCCATTCCTACTCATGGCAATCCACATGGCTTCACGATTCTGGACACCTCTCATGCCCAATGGTTCTTGTCAGGATGGGTCCATGAGGTCTACAACTACAGGACCAACCGCCGTGACCGCATCTACTGAGGTCATCTGATCGACGGCCCATTACGCCGAGCTTGATCACCTCCCTAACGGGATGGTATTCTGAGACATTTAGATGCCGTCTGGTTAGTAGTGAAGTGAGATTTAAGCGTCGGCACCGCCCTAACGGGTTGGTAGCTAACCTTCTCGTACAAACAGCACAGGGCGCAAAACATCGGCCGCATAATTTGCTTTTGTTGCAAGTTGTTTCCGCTGTCACAAAGTGATATGCTCACGACGGTCTAGTGACTAGTCTTTCCTTCCATCGCCTTCGCCTCAACCGTTGCACTAAGATGCGCGGGGGGTGTATTTTGTGGAAGATGTAGCGAGTCACCTGCACCTACTGTCGTTCATTGGCTCAAGAAAATATGCGTCTGCATTCTGGCTGTTCTGCCTGTAAACATAATAGTATGGCTTGCATGTGGGTGGTTGTCAAAACTAGGATCCCTCTTTGGGGTACCCTAAATAGTAGGTGCTTTATTATAATAGGGACCCAAAAAGGCACCCTAATTTTGACAACTACCCATGGCCAGGCTTGCTCTTCTGCTTCGTGCAAGTACAAGTAGCACTCACTTCTACTTAGATTCTTTTGGAAAGGCAACCCTCGATTCAAAGGGGTAAAGGAGGGACCCTTCATGGGGACCCCTACCCTATAATGGGCTATATAATGGGTATATAAGAGCTATGTTAAGGGTATCTGCCTAGGGGTCCTTATTAAGGGTCCCTCCTTTTACCCTTGGATCGATCTCACCAAGCTGCAGACTCCCAGTACTTGGAGGATCATGGGACTTAGTAAGTAAGGTTATAAGTACCTGAATTGGGGTTATAAGTAGTTCTAAGTATAGTTACCCTAATTATAACCCTAGTTACTAAGTCCCATGATCCTTTAAGTACCCACCCACCCCCTCCTCCATACGGAACATGCTGCAGGGGTCTAAATCGCCGTGGCCTTCCATCTTGGAGCCGGAAGTAACCCTGAACCGTAGAACTTAGAACCATAAACCCAAAGCCCTGAACCCTAAAACCCTAAGCCCTAAGCCCTAAACCCTAAAACCCTAAAACCCTAAGCCCTAAACCCTAAAACCCTAAGCTCTGTACACTTCCCGAAGCTTCCAGGCCGAAGTCACCGACTACTGCCTGGACGACATGTCGACGATGTCGGCCCACACGAACCGACTCCATGAGGTCTGCTTAGGGGCTCCTTTTCAAAGGGAACCCTTGTGAGGGTTCCTTTAAAGGGCTTCTTTAAAGGAGCCCGATATAAGGATCTCAAGAGGAGCCCTTAAAGGAGCCCTAAAGGGTTGAGGGGGTTTCAGGCGCAGGGTTCTTTTTTAAGGGTTGAGGGTTCAAGGTGTAGGGTTCCTTTAAGGCTGAAGGGCCTGCTGAAAAGGTTGGGTGTTCCTTCAAAAGTTGAGGATTGGGGGCTTAAGGCTAGATTAAGGCTCAGGGTTTGCATGGTTTAGGAACTAGGGCTTACGGTTTAGGGTTTAGATTTTAAGGTATCGGGTTTCAGGTTTACAGTCTAAGGTTTAGGGTTTAAGGATGTTTATGGTTAGATTTTCGGGTTTAGGATTTGGGGTTTCTTGAGTCTAAGAGTCCTGTAAGTGATTCAGCAAGGTTCTACTGTAAGGGTGGAGGGCTTTGGGTTGCAGGTTAATGGTCTAAGGTTCGGGATTTAGGGTTTAGAGTTTGGGACCTATAAGAGTCTTGTAAGAGATCTAACAGGGTTCTACAAAGTCTGCTCCGGGACACTGATATCGACCCCTTGGCTTAGCGGTTTAGGGTGTTGGGGGCTGGATTGTGGAGAGAATTCCGAAACTTTACAGGATCCAAGGTGTAGGGTTTAGGGTTTAGGGGTGGGCCCCGAGACTTCGAGCGGTTGAAAGTATGCTTTACGGTCCAGCATTCTGATTCGCGAAGTATGTTGAACATTAATTTTGGGTTTGGGATTTCGAGGCGTGGCTTGAGGCTGAGAGGAATTAGACCTGAGGGCTGTGCGGTTTTAAGGCTGGGGATACGCGTAGTTCTCTCTGCTTGGGTCCTTTCCTTGGTTCATAAGGCTGCCCTAGTATTTCCGTACTAGTTTAATCTAGAGAACTGCCCATACATAGTCCGTTCCTTATATGGCGTCCGAGCTGCACAAGAGCGCGAAGAACAGTTCGAGGCCGATGCGTGGAGTGCAGCGACGCTACATCAGTCAGCATCCGGGGGCCTAGCTTTTTGGGCATCACGGTGGCTCAGAACATCGCAAAGGCTCAGAACATATCCAGCTGTGCAGTCTTTTGAGCTGCCCTTATGCTGTTTGCACCCCGGATCTCTTCAGAGTCCGCCGCGGCGATCGAGAATCACATACCATCTTTCTGGTTGCAAAGTGCATGCTGCATCTGGATCCATACGAGCGAACCAGCGTGCGTGAATCCAAAACTTGGCTAAGATCAAGTGGTAGGTAGCGATATGGGATCATCGTTACTTTTCGCTGCTGTTTAATACGGAGCCCGAAACATAAGTAATTTTGGGGACCGATGAAATCGACACTTAGAGTATTAGGGTTGTATCGTCAATAGTTGGGCTCCGACATCTGCTCCAAGACATCATATAGGTAGTTGTCAAAATGCAGGTCCTTTTTGGGTATCCTATCCTAAATCTTAAATAGTAGGTGCCGTATTCTTAATAGGGACCCAAACAGGGACCCTAATTTTGACAACCACCCATGTAGGTCAGGCTTTGGGACTCATAGCTCTCGGGGGGACGGGACTTACAGCAGGCTTCAGGATAGAGGGGTCTCTTAAAGGGAGTTTAGGGGTGCCTTTCAGGGAGTTTGCAAGAGTCGAGGTTTCGAGATGCATAAATATACCAAACCCCCAACTCCTCAAGTCAAAGTCTTTAAGGCCTGAGGGTCTGGGACTTTGCATACTCGAAATTATGTTTCTCGAGTTCAGGGTTTAAGGTTCAGGCCTGCGGACAAAAATGGCATAGGCTCTGCATGTACTTGGAGGGTCATGGGACTTAGTACGTAGGATTATAAGTGCCTGAATTGGGGTTGTAAGTAGTTATAAGTTATAAGTATAGTTACACCAATTATAGCCCTAGTTACTAAGTCCCATGATCCTTCAATTAGACCTTAAACCCTAAACCCTATATAGATCCTTTTAAGGAACCCCTATAGATCCCTTTAAAGGGACCATGATCCTTTCAGTAGGGCTCAGGATTCAGGTTCGGCCCGAAGGCTCAATGCGGAGTTTCTGCGCCCCAATTGCTGGTCTTGGGAAAGCCAAAATCCTTCAAAAACCCTGTGTATGTTTAGGGTTTAGGGTTTAGGGTGCCCTATAAGCCTTGAATCCTAAAGTGAAGTGTGCATGTAAATGCTAGCCCCCCAGATCCTCAATCTCAAGCCCTGGCGTTCTGTTTTATACCATGTTACGAGCGATCAAAACCTCCGGCCCTCAGCGTTACGCTTTCCTGCCCCAAAAGTAAAGCTTCGCTGAGTTTAGGGTTTGGAAGTTCAACAAGCTTGAGTTTACCGATCAGGAGAAACAAGAAGTTTGAGGTTTATGGTTTAGGTTTTAGGGGCATTGTGTTAACTGTTCTGCTGGGCAACTCGTATGGTAGCTGTTGCACAGGGCCGAGGTGTCGGCTAGGTGTCAGCACCAAAGTAGCACCTGAATGCGAGCGTCTTGCGGCAATACGTACTGTGATGCAAATGGAGTTGGGGTTCACATTATGGCTTCGGGGTCCGTTGTGTGCATGGGGCGTCCTCTGTCAATCCCCATGCAGGTCGCTCAGAACATCAGCTTCTCGGCGTCACTGGCATGATGGTAGTATATATGGACCCTCTGGGTACGATGCAAATCCTCTGTAAAGCCGCAAGGACCCGAGGCCCCCGCGCTTCAACTTCGAAGCCCTTAATGTAGGAACCTGATTAAGAAGCCTTGGGCCTTTATTTGGGTCCCTTATATGAATCCCACTATTTTAGGGGTGATAGGCCCAGGGTTTCTTCATCAGGTTCCTATAATAAGCCCCTATAATTACCTCTTCTAGTAATCCTTATAGACCCTGTATAAGGAACTCTTTTCAGAAACCCTAAGGGCTCCTACATTAGCCCCAAAAACCTGTAAACTTAAATTCTAGAAAGCCAAAAGCCCCAGCTCCGAAACCCTGTAGTCCCTAAACCCCCACTTAGATCCTAGAAGCCCTGAAGCTCCGACACCGAAACTTAGTAAGTAAGGTTATAAGTACCTGAAATGGGGTTGTAAGTAGCTATAAGTATAGCTACCCTAACTATAACCCTAGTTACTAAGTCCCATGATCCTTTAAGTAAGCCATCTTAAATCCTAAAGTCTGCAACTAGCAAAGCCCAGCCCGCGGCTCCAAGCTCTTGAATCATCATAGCTCGTGCAATAGATGGGAGTCGAAATAAGTGTTAATATCCGGGTATAGATATAGTTGTAGTAACATCCCTATTCTGATGATTGCGCCCTTGTACACTCAGAACTTACGCTGGGTTTCAGGGCTTAGGCTTTGGGGGTGGCATAGGCTTGAGGGCTCGGTGTCAGCACACATGGTGCATGGCAGTTTGCGGGAGTTGGTCGGGGTTTTGGTCAGAAGAATACACGACCGACAAGGCTAACGACAATAGTGCCATTAACCATGGCAAGAACAAGTGTGAGAATAGGAATACGAATATTCGTAATAGTACGAAGGGATCAGAGGAGACAGTCACTCGCTCCCAGCATCCAACAACAAAGATGTCTTTCAGAGCTGTCATGCTCACAGCTTCAAGTGAAGCTGTGCCGAACGAAACTCGAACCGTAGACCTAGATCTTGGAACACAACCCATCACACCCTATGAACGACCCCACCACCCCAAAGCCATGGACAGCCTGCGATTGCTCCAGCAGCCTCGTACATCCAAGGAACCAAGTTGACCGCAGCTCCTTGCTTGCAAGTGTGTGATTAGGTGCCAAAACAGCACATAAGCATAAGCATTTTGTAGGGATATCACTACCTTAATGGGCTTCATTCTAAGGGGTTTACATGGAATATCCCTATCCTAAGTTGTGCTTAGGTGCTTTTTGGGGGCCCTATGTGATTCTGTTCTGTTCTGGAGTCAAGTCATGCAACGCTCCTCCTGGACCGCCTACTTAAACGATCATGGGACTTAGTAAGTAAGGTTATAACATAACCCTAGTTACTAAGTCCCATGATCCTTTAAGTAGTAGAAAGAAGGCCTTGTCAGCAGTGCCAGATGGAAACCCGTCACAAGTACACGTTTTAAGGCTTGAGGTCGTATGTTCCATGCTCTAGTTGCCAAACCCTGCTAGGCTTTGACCGAAGCTTGCAATGCGTACGAGTTATCCTAACCAGAGCGACTGAACTAGCAGAAAGCAACCCTAAACCCTAAAACCCGCCTAAAACGGCTTTCGCTGCGTGCAGACGAAAAGGAGCCCTTAAAAAAAATAATAATAACCCTAAAATCCTAAACCCTAAACCCCAAACCCTACAGTCCCAAAAGTTTGGTAGCTGTGGCCGACTCAGAAGCCTAAGCCGCCCCAAATCGGAATGCCTAGATGATTGCACTTTGTCATAGTTAGGTAACAATTTTCCTGAGTATTTAAGCCCAACAAGGAATAAACATGTACATTTTTAAACCCTATCCCAACCATGCACCAGTGCAGGAATGTACAGGAAAAGAGAACCAAGGATCCCAAAGACCGTTGATTTGAGGAGTGTATTTCGAGTTTAGGGGTTTAGGGTTTAGGGATCGTGACTTACAGGCTTGTGTGCCTTCGGATCAGATCGCAGCCCGAGTTTTGAAACCTCTTCGTCCCAAAGCGAAGTCTTCTGTTGGCTAGAAAGCATGTATGTCTTCCGGGTGGTGTCCTTGCTATCAATACTGAAGGACCGAACTTGTACAACTTTTCGAAAGCTCGATGCAACAGCCTCGTGAAACCTTAAATTAGTACCTTTCAGTTGAGCGCCCACTGTATGGTTCGGATCCTAAAATAAGAAACTAAGGTAGCCGAAGAAAGATACTACATTTAAGGGTCTAGGTGTGTAGCCTCATCTGTTTTTCTGGGCTTCCTTAGGTAGCTTCTGAAACAGCTCTCCTTCCCGAAACCCCATGAAGCTCGGAACCCTACACCTCTAAACCCTAAACCCTAAACCTCTTAACCCTAAACCCTAAACCCTCATCCCTAATCCCTAAGCCCTAAACCCTAATCCCTACTCCCTAAATCCTAATCCCTAAACCCTAAACCCTCACCTTTTTGAAGGAGCTCTCCACCATGGCTGTAACTGGGTCGCTGATTGCGGAGAGCAGAGCTGCAGCGCCGCTCTCCGTGAAGCAGTACCCAGACCCCCGGGAGGATCCAAAAAGTAGATCCCTTAATGGGGGGTTCCTTTAATTTAAGGGGGCCCCTTTAAGGGATCTGCAGGGTTTTAGGGTTTATAGGGTTTAGGGCTTAGGGGAGGATCCAAAAAGTAGATCCCTTAATGGGGGTTCCTTTTAAGGGTTCTTTTAAGGGTCCCTTTAAGGGATCTATAGGGTTTTAGGTCTAGGGTTTAGCGTAGGTACCTTAAGGGGTTCCTATAAAGTACCCTTAGTATAGGGCCCCAAATTAGGGGATCTACTATCTGGATCCTCCCGGGGGTCTGGGTAGGTTGGAAGGGTCGGTGTAGGGTTGCGGGCTTGTTGGTGTTGGGGTATTCAACATATATAGGTGGTTGTCAAAATCAGGGTCCCTTTTTTCAGGGCCCTAAATATTAGGTGTCGTATCATATTAGGGACCCAAAAAGGGACCATAATTATGACAACCACCCATATCCTTCCACCTAAGAGAATCAACAAAGGGCCTCCACTCCGCAACTCGAGCAGTGTGTTGGGTTACTATAGGGTGTGGTTGTGTCTTTACTGTCACTTTTGGGGGATGCCGTTCTTGCTTTTCCTTTTGCTCTTGCTCCTGCTTGTCTCCTGAAAATCTGAACCCCCTAATCCGAACGAGCTTTTACAAGGCGGGGATGATTTCAGTGGATGTTCAGCGAAGTGTAGTTTGTGTGGGGAGTGTATGAGAGGCTGAAACGATGACAACGGTTTCGTGGTGCGTTACACAGCTTCCTAGGGCTATTGACATCAAAGGGGTTTGTGCGGTATTGACGGTTTTACACTGGGTTTTTCATGCTTCTCGAACATCAAGATACCTCTGTTTAGTGTTTTAAATTTCTGCAAGTCTGGAGATTTTCAATTTAGGGGTCATCTCCACAGAGTGGAGACAAGTTTGGAGGAGTTCTGCAGCTCCCTTTTTCGAGTCATGTAGGGCCAGGGGTTCAGGGTTTGCGATCTGAAGAACGTTTCGTCCCGAGTGTCATAAAGGTTATGTAGGGGCCTGCATGCTTAGTGCAGGGTCTTGTTGGTTTTTTTCGCACTGTACGCAAATTGCCACGAAACCCTGTCTTGGGCCCGGCATGTCTGGGGTTCTTCCAACCGCAGTATTTTGTGTTTGGGGCGGTTGTAATTAGAGATGGTCTCCCCCAAACTCAAACCTGTGGCTCCAAGGACGGAGCTTCAAGCTTTGAAATTGCGAGGGCAGGGCAAGCAGGCACAAATCCCCGCACCCTGCACCCCAAATCCCGAACACGATATATATATATATATATATATATATATATATAATACCCCACTGGGTAGACGGACCCAAGCCTAAAGAGCTTTGGTCGTAGAGTATTCAACTGAGCATAACCCCTCAAAGAAGCCTGGATAATGAACAACACTATTCATTGGATTATAGTACAATATATTGTACATATACCACCCAAACACCCAAAACTGGCGCAAAAGCCCCTTTCTGAGTCACAAGGCCCCTCCCTCGTTTGAGCAAGGTCAGCGCCGACATGGTGGCTCTTACCGGATCCCATGTATGCCATGGCAGACACTTCTTTTGGTTTAAAGGTCAAACCGCAAGCCCAAAGGGCTTAAGGGCCATGCTTAGGATTGAGTCTTTGAGGGTCTTGACGTTTGAAAATCAACCTCAGCCATCCTCGTGCTATACATCGAATTGTAAAACCTATACTCACAAAATCCTTACGGGTGCATTTGAGCCCCTGACACCCTGAACCTTCGTGTACCCCCTACCTAGGCCCTACCTACGCTCTCTTCACTCCATGGTTTCAGCGAGACCTCAATCACGATTTCGATCGTGCGGGATTTTGGGATTTTAGACAGAGTTCGGGCATGTTGCTGAAGTCCTAAACTTCCGAACCCTGAATCCTGAACCCTTTGCTACGTCTCCTCGCTCCACTCTCAATCCTGCAGCCCTAACTAAAACTGCACAGCCTTAGCAGCCCTCAGCCCTGAAACCCCATAACCCTGATTCTCTAAAGCCCAGAGTCCCGGACGAAGCTAGTTGGCCTCGGTGAACAGGGATAATGTGCCTAGACATGGATGGGAGAGTACGCAAACAACCATACACGCGCCCTCGTTGTGCTCTTATCTCTGTCGACGGTCTCTTATCTTTGCGGTTTAAGATATAGCTACCTTACCTTAGCTTGCCGCTTATGATCCTAATCGCCTGATCGTGTCATCTGTCTTTGTTGTCCCACGTATGGCCCGTTTCGTCGCCTCGCCTTTGACATACCAAAATGTTCCCAAACCCTAAACCCTAAACCGGTTAGCCCTAAACCAAATAAAGAAACTCCCAAAACGACAGGCGCATCCGCCTTAACATGTCATGTCTCCGAGGATGCCCCAGTCTTCACTCGCCAGCGAACCCTCATCGAAACAGCCACCGGGCACCTTCAGCATTTCTGCCTTTATTGTTTTGGGGCTGAGGGACTCTTAGGGAATTAGGGTCGTCAAAAGGGTTTAGGACACTTAGGGTTTAGAGTGTAGGTTGTAGCGCCTAGGGTTGAGGGTTTTTTTCGGGTTTATATAGGGGGAGTTCAGGGCCTCTCTGAACCCAAATACCCCATCCTAAACCCTCCAGCCCCGAAGCCGAAACACGCTAATTACCGGTGAACTTGCCGTGGTCCTAAAACCTAAACCCTAAATTCAATACACTAAACCCTAAACCCAAAACCCTAAAGCCAAAACTCTAAACCCTAAACCCAAAACCGTAAACCCTAAACCCTATATAAGTGGTTGAGGATCGAAGACCATACTCTAGCGAGCAGGAAGTGTAAACTCATCGTAACTCATCGCCGTCTTTGATCCGAAGCCCCATTCTGGGGCGACTGGATCATGTCATGAGTTCGAGACTCATTCGCTATGTGCTCGCAGACATCTTTCATTTAGTTGAAGGATTTGCGGCTTCAAACACTTAAAGGGTTAAGGGCTTCAGGTTAAGGGCTTCAGGTTAAGGGCTTCAGGGTTGCAGGGGCCAGGCCTAATTGTGCCCTATGCTCTCAAGCCCAAATTCTGAAATTTCGATCCGCAGCTCCTGCAGCTTCCTTGCGACGCTCACAACAGCGGTGCATCCCAAGCCGGAATACCCATATCGATCCCTCCTGGAGATCTGCAAGTCGACCCTTTCAGCTGCCAGTCGCAAGACTTTCGGCCTGCCTGGTAGGGTTTGGGCCCCAAACCCTGGCCCTAGACCCTAAACCCCTAAACCCTAAACCTTGCTGCTTGCTTTAAAACCCACAGAGGCTCCAAAACCCACTAATTAAGTATATACCTTAAAATTAGATGTTGGGAGCCCTCATATGAGTTCAGGTACATTCCTTAATTAAGGGGTGTTAGAATCCCCTAAACCCTGAACCCTATAGATCCCTTAAAAGGAACCCTAGGTATTCCTTAATCAAGGGGTATCGGGGTCTCTGAGCCCAAGGTGATGGAGTCAGAGTTCGCAGAAACTTCAGACGACGAGCCGCGAGCTCAGGAAATTTCCCTCTTCTCGCTTAGTCTACGCGAGCCGTAACTAGATTCTTGAGTGGTACTAGGGTCCCCCTATTAAATCCGAATACTTAGAACAGGGGTTCCCTTATTCTAATTCGGCTATTCAGGACAATAGTTAATGAATAAACAGGTTGGCTTGTCGTACAGGAGGGACGGAAGGGAATACTGTTACAGTATTAAGTAATAGACGCCTGTACTATAGTCAGTACCCTCCCAGCGACAGCACGGCAGCCTTGCTCAAGACCAGACCATTCAGAAGTTAGAACAGCTTAGTGCTTCTGCTTCCCTAGCTCCTGAAACCTTCAGGATTGATTTAGACTTAGTAGTAGAGTAGGTAGCTTTTAACTTTCTGGGGTACTGTGACTAGAACTACAACCTCTAGCCCCTATATACTCTGAAAGGTTAACCTTTCGTTCCCCAGGATACTGGGAGGTAGGTAGACATGTTTGAACTAGTAAAGGTTCGTGATCTCGGTCACTCTAGATGAAGGCTCGGCATGTAAGGCTTTCCGCCTCATCGCATAAACTTGTGTCGTGGGCAGCAGCCTATGAGATTTTCGAAATTACGTTGCTGGCACGGCCTGTAAGGGTTTGAGGGTTTAGGGTCGGCGCATGAACCCTCAAGCCGCGCAGACACTGAACGTTGGAATCCGTGTGTCTCAAGGCTGGAACCCGCAAAGCCCACGTCCAGGCACAGTCCTGTGCTGAGGGCTTCAGGGTTTAGGCTAGAAGCAAAAAGGCCTTTTAGCCCTAATATAGAAGCCTAAATAATTACCCATAGCATTCCTTACATTTCCGTATTATATAAAGGGGCCCCAAACCCTATTCTAATTATTACCTAGACCCCCGAAAGTAGGTAAAATAATGGCCCAAAACCCATCATAAAAGGGCCATTATTCAGCATACTTTTGGGGTCCAGGTAAGTACCCGGCAATACACTCCTCAAACCCCGAAAGCCTTCAATCCAAGAAGCCTTCAGCTCCAGAATGCCCGGGGCAATGGGAGTTTGAGATGCAGAAGGTGTGGGCTCCTGATGGGTAATAGAGGGGCCTTGGTTACATACCCATACTATCCTCATAGGATTCCTTATTATGCTCATAGGCCCAAAACCTGAATGAATTTATGAAGGGCACTGTATTAATCTGGTCTATGCCTTATTATGGATAGTACAGGTTGTTGTCCATCAGCCGCATTTGACGTGCTTTGCGAGGTCCGATCCCCAAGATCCGCGACCCCCAAGGCGCGCATCCCCCAGCCCAAAACTCTTTGAACGGAGTTTTGATTCAACCTCGCAGACATCGAGCAAACAATCAAACCCCAACAATTGCAGCCTAAACCCTGGCTGCCTGTACTTAAACGTTCACTGCCTGTTACTTGAACTCCAAGTTATAAACCCTTTGGCCTCAAATATCAACATCCAACTCCGGGTGAGCTCGGAGCTTAAAGGAATCGATGTCATCACCAGGCTTGTTAGCTTCGCTCGTCAGCAGAGCCAACACGTCGCCACTTGACATCCAGGGACTGGGCGCGGTGCACGGGTTGAGGGTCTCGCACCGGTTTCGCGTCTTTTGTAACGCCTTCAAACATAAGGTAGTGAGGGTACGGTGTTTTAGTGTATAGGGTTTTGAAAAATACTCGGTCCCAAAACTCTAAACCCTATAGGGTGCGCTAAACCTTTGACGACCGAACCCACCGTCGAGAGCTGCCGGCATTCCAGAGTCAATGAACCAGTCGACGACACGAAGTACTGCTGGGGTTTAATCTGTACTTGGGTTTCAGGTTATACTGTTTAGAGTTTAGGGATGTTTAGGGTATGTTTGCAACTTTGAGCCCTGCGACCTTAGCCTTCGATTGCAGGGCTTGGAATTTCTCGTGGAGAGCTAGGGATCAGGGCTTCTGGTTTGTAGCTTCGGCCTTAGGGTTTCGAGTGTTAGGGCTGTGAGGTTTAAGGGTTAGGGTTTTGTGTTACAGGCTTTCACGTTTGGCAGGCCATCCGTCCTTTCGCCTTTGGGGCTGGGTTTGAGGTTCAGGGCTTACTTAGAGAGTGATAATTAGGGTAACTATACTTATAAATTTCTATAACCCCAATTAAGGTACTTGTAACCGTACTTCCTAAGTCCCATGATCCTCCAAGTAGGGTTCAGGGCTGATGTGGGAATGGCGCTCAGTCCCCCAGGAATCCCTTTGGTGCTTAAGCTGACGCTTCCAGCCGAGCTCAGCTCAGAAATTTCCATATGCTTTATAGCCTAAGCCCCAGATCCCCGAACCTGGCTTGATGAAAAGTTCCTTAACCCCAATCCCGAAACCCCCAAACTGTAAATCCCCAAGCCGTCAACCCCTAAAGCTTCAACCCTAAACTTATCCCTAAACCCCCCAAACCCTAAACCCTAAACCCCCCCAAACCCTAAACCCTAAACCCCCAAACCCTAAACCCTAACCCCCCAAACCCTAAACCCCCCAAACCCTAAACCCTAAACCCTAACCCCCCAAACCCTAAACCCTAAACCCCCCAAACCCTAAACCCCCCAAACCCTAAACCCTAAACCCCCCAAACCCTCAAACCCTAAACCCCCCCAAACCCTAAACCCTAAACCCCCAAACCCTAAACCCTAACCCCCCAAACCCTAAACCCCCCAAACCCTAAACCCTAAACCCTAACCCCCCAAACCCTAAACCCTAAACCCCCCAAACCCTAAACCCCCCAAACCCAAACCCTAAACCCCCCAAACCCTCAAACCCTAAACCCCCCAAACCCTCAAACCCTAAACCCCCCCAAACCCTAAACCCTAAACCCCCAAACCCTAAACCCTAACCCCCCAAACCCTAAACCCCCCAAACCCTAAACCCTAAACCCTAACCCCCCAAACCCTAAACCCTAAACCCCCCAAACCCTAAACCCCCCAAACCCTAAACCCTAAACCCCCCAAACCCTCAAACCCTAAACCCCCCAAACCCTAAAACCCTAAACCCCTAAAGCTTCATCCCTAAGCCCGAAGGAACCCCGGAAGGCTCCAGTGCCATTCGACCCCGAAGGCCCCGATGCCTACGACCGACAACCGATTGAAATGGCATCCCAGGGGGTCCATACGTATGTATGTATATATATATATATATATATATATTTATGTATTTATTTATTTATTTAAATACATTTATTTGTTTTGCTTTATGTATATACACATGTGTATATGTGTGTATGTATGTATATATATATATATGTATACATTTACACTACTGCTTTGGAGTTAGGCCCGACAATAAGACCATCCTGACCATGGTTTTGTGGGACCTAACTCCTAAATGGTGGCATAAATGTACCCTCTTGGAAAAGATTGAAGCCACGACCCGTGAAATGAGGCCCACATGTATGCCCGTAAGCCTTTTGTATCTCCGAAATTGGTTGTAGTTCATCCGAGGATACCATCTTGCCTTCTGCAATGTGTCTGGAAGACATCCAGCAGGCGCGAATTGTTGACTTGCGGACCTCTACTTGGAGGATCATGGGACTTAGTAATTAAAGTTATAAGTACCTTAATTGGGGTTATAAGCAGTTATAAGTATAGTTACCCGAATTGCAACCCTAGGTACTAAGTCCCATGATCCTTTAAGTAGGCATTGCAGTCTTTTGGGGCTTTCGGCTTGTAACATAGGGCCTGACCTTAGTATTCGGGGTTCGGGGTATCGGGCCTGCTATGTATTATTGGTTTCGGGACGTTCGGCTTAGCGCCTGGCGGCTTTAGGGTATAATTAGGGCTCAGCATGCGCCGGAGTTGACCGTCAGTTTACACAAGCCCCAAACCCCCAACCCTGTGCAGGCGCAAAAGAGCTCTCAAAAAAAAATGCCCACACCCTTAAACCAAACCCCAAGCACCAAAGTGTGCACGAGCTTTGCCCGAATACCCCAAAAGGTCCCTGTATCTTCAACGTATACTAAGTCGCTACCAAGTATACATGATGTAGCTTCAACTATACCTAGATGCGAAGATTTGCAAGGCCAAATTATATACTACAGGAGTCCATGAATGCTGAACGAAACGGTTTGGGGCAGCGCCTAGCCTGCGGAAGGTGATGCCTGCAGCGATGCAGGCCGCAATGCAAGAGTGCAGCTTTTCCGACCCTTGTCTGATACGTTTCGGGCTTGGCCTTTGAGCTCGGGGTTTTGAGGCAGGCCCTTGAAACAAACCAGTTCTCATGGAGAATCCATGTCATCTAATATGAAATTCTTTGTGCGAGGCACTCTCCACTTCGGACAGCCCCAACTACTATTTGTGCCAAGGCTTGAAAACCCACTCACTTGTGGCGAATATGAGACCTCGTCAAAGGGCACTTGCGCGGGGATGTCCTTGCAATACCAGAATTTCAGCGCTGGTCTCCACACTATTCCCTAAGAAGCTTAACGCCGATGGGGTCCTGGAAGCAGGGAAGTCCCCCGACAAGAACACCCTGATCCCTGCAACGGTGGATTCCCAAAGCTCTAAAGCCCTGAATTCGAAACACGTGTCGCCCGAATCTGAACGCCCTCAACCCTAAACCCTAAACCCTCCTAGTCCTAATCATCCCTAAACCCTAAACCCTAAACCCACAAAGGAGTTAAACGCCACAGACTTTCAAAAGCTCTTGGCATGGTATGAGGGTAAGGTTTCGAGTCGAGGGCTTTGGTTTTGGCTGTCAATGACAATAATGCCGATAGCTACCTGGGTTCTTGCTAAGGAATTTTAAGTTAACATCATAAGGAAACCATGTGATCTGTTTTACTACAATGAAATTTCTCAAAAAACACCTGGCTACTGGTGCAATACTCAAGCAAGGCTACAAGCAATTACAAGTCCGAGGTTGTACTCTAGACTCAATGCCCAATGCCCTCAGTACTACCCCCGATCCCTCAATGCCGAACCTGAGCCTTGAATCCCAAGCCCGGCACTTCACCACTCATTGGGATCCTTAGGGGTGTAGGGGGAGGGGGGGTAGGGGGCCTTAAGGCCCATCATAAGGACTAATAAGGCCTATTTAAGGAAATATAGTCCCCTACACCCCTCCCCCCTACACCCCTAAGGATCCCTATGAACCACATCAACCCTACACCGTACGGTTTAGGGTTTCGACTTTCGGGAAGGTCGAGGCTTTAGGGAAGTTCCTACAGCCTACCTTCTCAAGCTCTGGAGCCGCCTCTTCTGTAGGCTCGAGATGAGAAGGAAGTATCTACACTGACATGATAGCCATCCTAGGAGAAACAATAGGCCAGGGTTGGTTCAGTTTATAATATACTATATCATACTATAACATAATTACTGTGATGCAGATATAAAATATACTGTGATATACCATGATATACTAAGATATTCCACAACATACTGTAATAGAACATAATTGCTATTAGTAGTATGCTGTAGCATACTACAATATATCATAGTACATATATATATATATACATATATATATATATATACATGTATATATATATACATAGATACATATATTACGATATACAAATTTGAGCCCTTCAGCTCATACCAAAAACCTACCGACAAGGTGAGCATCGGGGATCCTCGCGCGGATGACTGTCCGCTTGTGGCAGTGTCAGACCAGTTCGAGGCACATCATCCCAACTACACCCAAACCCTACGCTTCGAGGGACCTTATCGTTTGGTCCCTAAGGAGTCTAGAGCCCTAACTCCAAGGTCCTTGGATGCATAGTGAAAGCCCGAACTACGGGGCATTCTTACCTGCACTTGGACCTTAAAAAGATTCCGAATGAATGGTTTTGGGTTCAGGGGTTTCGGAAAGGATCTTGCAGCGTCTATCAAGCCGAAGGTCAGGGACACCTTCCTCAAAGGGGTAAATTTTAGGTGTCATGCCCTCCCTAAGTAAACCCCAAACCCCTACTAAAGCCCTAAACCCTATACCCCGAACCCTGCCAGTGATTGTGCTGGACCAACCATCTTGACGTGGGGAAGGAATTCTGCAGCTTATCAGCGACTTCTCAGAACCTTCAGAAACATTCAAGGGCATCCCGTTATGTAGATACTTCATGAAAGCTCAAGCAGAGGATATGGGAGTTGAATCTTGTAAAAAGCGATATGAAGCCAGACAGCGCCTTTATACATAGCCCCCCTTAGCACCCCCACGCAAAGCCCTATGAAACCATAGAGCCAGAATATCTTTCAATACCCTTCATCGCACGCTTCACCTCCAGCCCCCCGTCCTTCCCCTGGAGGCGTTGACCGGCTATTCACGCGAGGCGCCGACAAACTGGGGGGGGGGAACTCCCAAAACCTACGATCCTCACCTCCCCAAACCAATGCTCCAGATGATCAAATCCGAAAAACCCCTAAACCCATCGAAATCCTCAAGCCTAAAGTCATTTAGGTACTCTGAGTTATGCATATAGGTCCAGACACTTCTTAGCCTTGAGGCCTCCGGTTGGAGGGGAGGCCCTAAACCCCTAGGTCTCAGCGCGTCCAGCGATTAGCATGTTAGAGTTTCCGCGTATTATAATGATTGCAGGAGAAGGGGCCTGTAGTCGATTGACATGGGGACCTCTGCACCCTAGCACTCAGAGGACTGGAGATACGGTCGATGATATAAATCTGCATGATCAAATGGGAATTATGGTATATTTCTTATTATGGGTCATGCAGGATTTATATCATCAACCATACGGGTCTGTACTTGAAATTCGAGCGCAGGCCCCGAGGACCCGAGGACCCCAAGTCTAACGCTGAAAACACAATCAAAGGGGAAAAGGAGGGACCCTTAATAAGGACCCCTAGGTATATACCCTTAATATAGCTATCATATACCCATTGTATAGCCCATTGTAGGGTAGGGGTCCCCATCAAGGGTCCCTCCTTTTCCCATGTGACACAAGATCCAGACCCTTCGCACCACGATCCCGAGAGACCGTAAGTTTCGTGGAAATACGGCGGTGGAAATATACCGATGTGATTCCTTAGGGTTCGTTATCATATGTGTAGTATATCATACACCGAACCCTATTCCAACATTTACGACCCCTACATTATGAAAGTTCAGGACTGAAAGCACCTACTCTTTGAGACGAGCAGGATGTCAGCAATGGCGTGTATTGGATGAAAAGAGTCCAAATGCCAAGATACAGGATGTAATGCCGCGTGTAACGGTGGGCTGTGCCCACCGTTTCATCCCCCTACTTGGAGGTTCATGGGTAGTTATAGGTAGGGTTATAAGCCCCCTACTAGCAGCTATAAGTGTAGTTACCCTACTTACAACCCCTCTTATAACTACCCGTGAACCTCCAAGTAAACCCGAAACCCTGCGAGGCTTTGGGCAGATCATCCTCCCCACCCCCTTTCGAATAGCTCGATGAAGCCCAGGCCCTATGGACCCTACATAAAAATCTTTGGGTTTAGAGGGTTTAGGGTTTAGGGTAGAGTTTAGGGTTTAGGGTTTAGGGTTTTCTGGCCGTTTGTGTTAGTCAAGTTATGCTATCCAGGCAGGAGCATTCTGCTCAGAATCGGGATGCTTGAAGCAAAACACATGGCCCCAGAACGCCGTGGTGGATAGTGCTCAGGGTTCCTTCCATCTCTGCTCAGTTTGCATCTCTCACTCTACACGTCCGAGCCCTCGAACCTTTCCCTGTGCTCACCCAAAAGTCGGGGTTCAGGGCTTAGGGTCTTTGGGGATTAACGGTTTACGATTTAGGGCACAATGGCTTTCTGACAGCAAAAAGCAGAGCAACGATCCAACTTCAAAGCGTCAAGGAGATCATCGGCAAGAACTGTCGTTTCCTGAGTCGGAACTGTCCGATAGGCCCGCTCCTCAAAGATCTCATGTGGGAGTTTCCGAAAATAGGGGTATCCTTTTTTGTGGTCCGAAAAAGGATCCTGCTATTTAGGGTACTGTATTAGGTTCCCCCCATTTTCGGAAACTCCCATGTTGAGGTTTCTTCAACTGTGGGTGTTGGTTTTCGGTTAGTTTTCATAAGGAATCCAGATTGCTAATGCTTCCTACTTACCTAGACTGCTACTAGTATGACTGCTGGTGGCCCCCAACCTCGCAAAAAGGTTCGGTGCAGCATAGCGTCCTTGTGCAAAAGTTGATTGCTAGGGGTCTGTATGTGGGGGAGCATGGTGAGGGAGACCCCTTAAAGGGTACCCCTTCCGAACCCTACTTCTGGCTCTTCTCAAATGGACCTTATTGAGAGGGTCTATATCCCCGAGGGTCCCCCTAATCCTAACTCCCATATGTTTCTACCATGTGCCTCGTCTTGTTTGGGCACAAGTATTCTACATTCACTTTTTGCTGTGGCATCTTTGTTTTGAATAGACCCAAACGATTGGTCCAGTATCGAATTTCAACCTCAACTGTTCATAGAGTTAGGATTTTAGGGAGTAGGGTTTGGAGCTCATGCTATGTCAGGTGTTTTTTGCTTAAGCCGAACGGTTCCAATTTCCACGTTCTTCGATCCTTAGGATATACCCAATTCAACGCAGTGGGGATGTCGGCCGTCGCCAACTCCGACTCCGCTGATTCTCTCACTATACACATTACTACTCAGTATGTATGTATATGAATGTAGTATGTACGCATAGACACACACACAAACATCTATATACGCGCATGCCTGTGTGTATATATACATGTATATATAAATATAGAGAAATACATAAATGATTATATATATATGTGTGTATATATAGCGAGGGACAGCGAGGAGGTTCTAATAGCACCAAGTCCTGTCATTGTCGTGTTGATACCCAGTTTGCTCTATGACGCGGTGGGTGCTGGCCGGGGCAAAGCTCCGGGCATAGGGTGAAGTAGGGTTTAAGGTTTAGGGGAGGTGGGTTAGGGTTTAGGGTTTACTGTAGGGTTTAGGGTTTAGGGTTTAGGTCAGCTGTTTACCTTAACCCGGAATAACTTACCTTTCTTTAAGGACTTATATAAGGAAATCAAAATAGGGAACCCTGAAAAGGTAGGTGTTTCAGGGTTAAGGTAGGGTTTAGGGGAAGTATCGAAAGCTTGTTCAATCAGCTTGTATACTGGTCCATCTTCCCGCGTGAAGCTTCGGTTTAAAGGGAACTCCAGAAAGTTGGAATATGGTCTCAGGGTAGAATACCCTATAATTTACCATAAAGGGTTTAGGATAATAATATTCCAACTTTCTGGCTTTTACTGTATAGGTTTTGGACCGAAGTTTAGGAGTTCACTGTTAAATCCAAGACACTGCTTGAAGGTATGATCAAGAGCATGCCGCCTGACACACCGAAAGAATCCATAAGCCTCAAGGTTCAATGCATATACCGTAAACCCAGATTAGCCTCTTTCATGCCTTTTCAGTCAACTTCCGTACACTACGCAGGCGAACAAGATCACTGCGCTCTGCGAGACGCGACTTTATGGCATCGGAGTCCTCGCAGTGCCATTCCTGTCTAGGCAGTGACTTGTTAGTAGAAGCCCAGTACCCGAGCTTGCTGCATAAAGTACCAAAACTCTAGACCCCAAGCCCTGCACCTTACACTCGAAACCCTAAACCCGACCCTACACCCGGACCCTAAACCTCGCTCTGAAGATACAGTGCTGTGTTCATGTTAGGGTTTTAGGGTTTAGGGGTTCGTGTTAGGGTTTTTGGGTTTAGGGGTTCATGTCAGGGTTTTAGGGTTTAGGGTTTAGGGTTGTAGAATAGTAGCTGCCTCATGGGGAGACCCTTTGCAGTGCAAGGCCCCATCGTTTATGTTTACTCTGCTCCCAGGCATGCCTCAAAGGCACACCCTTTTGTAAGATCATCGTGAACCGCAGGCCAGAGGGTGTGTGTGTGTGTGTGTGTGTGTGTGTGTGTGTGTTTTGTCGCTGGGTGCGTGCGAGTATGTAAGGCATTTCAGCACGTAAGTATACATATATAGATACGTACATGTTTAAATTTGCACTTACGTTTGTATGCAATATATATATATATATATATGTATTAGTATATATATATATATATATATATATTTATATTTATATGTATTAGTATATATATATATACACACACATACACGCACAAAATGTGTATGTGCGTTCGTACGTGTGTAAGGCGGCTTTTTTCAACTGTTGCTTTGGGGATGGTTTATCCGTGGATGGGCGTTTCAGCCACAGAGGCTCTAATCTAAGCCGTAAATCCGTATGCCTCAACCCTAAACCCAACCTGGACCGTATGAAACCTTCCTTTCTGGGGTTCCTTATCATGATTTCTTTATGTAAGTCCTTAAAAAGTAGTATTTGGGGTTCAGGAACAGCTATCACCAGAGCCTTAAAGCCCTAAGCACCAGACTGGAGTACAAGGCAGCTTTGTTTTCACAGCACCGTTTTCAGGAAGCCCGCCTGTTACTGTCTTGGGGTTCTAGGGCATAGTTCGGGACTGCTGCTAGAACCTGCATGAATCCCCCCCACCCCATGAGCGTAGAGTCCGGGCAAAAACTATGCCTGATGGCAGTCTGGTACAATGCCAAAACTATACTCTTGATGAAAGCAGCACAGCTGTAGAGTACTATAGCGTCCCACGGCATGTGTCAAACCATACATGATAGATGTTAAACCCTATTATGTAAACCTTCAACCCTAACCTCTAGCAATCCTTAACTCCCAGGCATCCTCAGAAGGCTTTGTAAGTTACAAAACCCCAAACCCCAACCCCTAAACCCCCAGACCCCCAAACCCCTAGACCTAGACCCCTAACCCCCAAACCCTAAACCCTAAACCCTGAATCCAGAAAACGTTCAAAACCCCTAACTTTTTTTTGGGTTATAAACCTTCAACCCTGTATATAACCTTAAATCTCATACTAAAAAATTCTAGATCTCCGAAAGCCGCTTTTCTGGAGGAAGTCCGGAGATCTCTTCCTGAACCTCCTGGACCTGCGGGGCATCACAGTGGCCAGAAACGTGAGAACTAGGCGGGGGCCTTGGAGGTTTCTGGGTTTAGGGTTTAGTTTTCCTTTAAAGGGATCTACAAGGGTTCTAGAAAGGCGTTTAGGGTTTAGGGTTTATCGTTCAGGGCTTAGGGTTCGGGGTTTGGGGTTGAGGGTTCAGGGTTTAGGGTTTAAGTTTAGGGTTCAAGGTATAGGATTTAGGGTTCAACTGGGGTTCAGGGCTTAGGGTGTAAGGTTTGGGGTTCAGGGTTTATCGTGTAGGCAGGTTTCAGAGTCTAGCGAGCCTAAAAGACTTAATTGAAGGTTTACTGCGGTACGTATTTAACGTGTTTGTTGTATTTGTTTTTAATAGGATGTAATCTAAGCATGAACTTAGATAAAAAAAATACAGAGATGAACAGAATATGTCCAACGACATAAAGAAGTTGCTATATGTGCATATATATATATATATATATGTATATATATGTATATATATATATATATGTGTGTGTGTGTATCTGCATGTGTATATCTCTAGAGATCTGTATCTATAGGGATGTATATGTGCACACATATATGCATGTTCAAATACGTACAAAACAAATACAACAAATCAACATACCTATATATATATATATATGCACATATTATACTGATGAATTTGTACTGTTGTTATGATTGTTTTTATTATTATCGGGCTTTTTGCCTGGCTCTACCTGAGACCCATGACTCCACAATTAATAATCTTGAGCAGCACTGCCAGCCCACACTCAACCAAGAACTGAGATTTGGTTATTCAGGATTTAGAGTCCAGGATCTGAAAGAAAGAATGCGCAGATGCCACACTTTGCTTGTTCTGTCAACTGGCTCCCAAAACGCTATCAAGACCACTGTAACATCGTTCGAAACAAGACCCTACTACCGCAAGCCCCGAACTAAACTTAAAAGCCCTCAGCCCCAAACTGTCAATCCGAAGCCCAAAGACCAGGGAGCAGCTTTGGTTCCTCGTGGCCATCCAAGCAGACGTTACACACTTGGACAACCAGGAGCTTCCCAAGGACTGGTCGGTCAAAAGTCGGGTTTGTTTTTTGTAGATGTCCTGTGTAATGATCGCCTTGAGGCCTCCTACGGTTGTTTACGTGCAAGTGTTCATAATTACACTCTCTCTCTCTCTCTATATATATATATATACATAAGTGTAAGATGTACTTACAGGCATACGGACAGATACAGATACAGATACCGATGCAGGTACAGATACAGATACGTAGACGCAGGCATACATATGTACATATATGTTCACGTATGTACATATACACATATATACATGTATGCAGAAATGCATATATGCACACCCCAATTACACATATACGCATAAGTACGTACATACATGCATGTGTACATATATACACATAAATACATGCATACACATATACATATACATATCTATATACCTGGGCATTATTTATGTTGCAAACATGTCGTTGTTGTTTCCTTGCAGTGGTGGGTTAAGAGAGAGATGTTCACACTGTGGGGGAGCCGAACATGGCTTTCAGAGTTAAGCCCACCTGTGTAGTGGCTTCGAGCTTCAGAACTGTGGAGGCTGCCGTGACAGTTTAGGGTTTAAAGCCATGGGCATACCTCAAGGGGTCCCTCAGTACTGCGGGGGATACCTTCACAAATCATAACGGTAGTTTCTACTGTAAAGGCCGTGCAGACTACGATATGGTACTTAGGACCCTCTGAGTACTGCAAGCAACCATGACCAGTACACTGTGTTGAAGCAGTATCGCCCGTGGTTACTCTCCTTTCTAAGCCAAATGCTTAGACGGCTTAGACCTTACAAAACCATTGCGTCAACTCCCCACCTTGCAGGATCACATGGATTGCATCCACGAAGTGGCCTCCAGACGCCTGTCTCCGAAGTTGTGTGGGCATTCCGTGAAAATGCAGTGTCAAAATTAGGCAACAAATCAAAGCCAGAAGGATTCACTCAGGTTGCGGGAGTTTGATTGCTTGTTTCGGCACAGGAAGTGGCTGAGGTGTTCGGAGTAGAGGTTTCAGGTGGTAAGGGCTGAATGGCTGAAGGTAATTCATGCGGACCCTCATTTCTCTCAGAACCCCTGTCTTCCAGGCTCATGAGGTTAGGATCCTGGTTACATGCTTCGCGGAGGGTTGGAAGTGGTAATCAACAATTAGAACTAACGTTCTTTATCAACATATGGGAGTTTCCGAAAATTAGGGGTACCTTGTTTTGGGCTCCTTATAGTAAGGATCCTACCATTTAGGGTACTATGTTAGGGTCCCCTATCTTTGGAAACTCCCATATGCTGACGCTGGTCGTACATTGTTGAGGCTTACGGACTCCCCTTGGCGGAAGCCAAAATTCAGTATCATCTGCAGAAACCCCAAAAGTCCAAAGGACCCAATAATCGGGTACTTGGGTTTAGGATAGTAATTTGGGAGAGTATGTGATAATTAGGTACTTGGACCCTTAGGGGGATCCAAACCGTAGACCCCCTCTCAGCTCACGCCCGAAATTTGGAGAGAAGGTAGAAGTCGATGGTCTTTGAGTCCCTGGTACCTACGTTCCTTATCTACTGCTTCCGGGGCGCACGTAAGCCGCAAGCCATCTTGGGCTGACGTGAAAAGTAAGATCACTAAGATCCGTGTGCAAGGACTCTACGAAAGTCAGATCCCGTGTCCCGAGTCTCAAGCCCAAATGCTCAAGCAAGCCTTTCATAACAACGCAGCGAAAAAGAACAGTGAACTCTTTGCCCTTCACCCAGCATCATCTCCAACTTCCGTGCTGGCCCCTACTTGGAGGATCGTGGGACTTAGCAAGTAAGGTTATAAGTTATAAGTACCTTAACTGGGGTACTAAGGAGTCAGAAGTATAGTTACCCTAAATATAACCCTGGTTACTAAGTCCCAGGATCCTTTAAAGTACAGTCCTTGACCCAAAAGTCGGGCGGTGTCGCGGGCTGAGGGCCTTGGGTTTTTGAGGTTTAGGATGGAATAGGCTTCGGGATATCGTGTTTAGGGTGCTAAAGATTGAAGCCCTGACGCCGAAGCCCTCAAGTCCAAAAGTCCGAAGTCCTCACCCTAGACCCTAAAAACCCCTAAACCCTAATTAGGAGCCGACTCGGGCAGGCGCACAAAGAAGGCCGTCAACCAAACTAAACAAAAAAAACACGAGAGCGAGGCCCAATATCCGACGCCCGAAAGCCGGAGTCAACTCGGAACCTTAAGCCGAAACCCCTCGACCCGAACCGCTACTTGGAGGTTCATGGGTAGCTATGATAAGGTGTCCTTTAAGGGCCCCTTTAAAGGGATCTATAGGGATGCTAGAAGGGTATAAGGTTTAGGGCCTACTTGGAGGTTCATGGGTAGTTACAAGTGGGGTTATGAGTAGGGTAACTATACTTCATGCTCATATTAGGGGACTTATATCCCTACTTATAACTACCCATGCGACTCCAAGTAGATCCTGCAACTCCATAGCCCCAAACCCAAAGCCACAAGCAAGGCCTAAACCGCCAAACAAACAAACAGATGCCCAAGGACTGCGGAGCCGTCTCGCACAAGAGCTGATTGCCAGCTGCACTTAAAAAAGAGGCCGAGTAATTAGCCAATTAGGGTCATAAGCGGGTTCTATATGGGTGCTAGAGGGGTTCAACCCGTTTCTACTTCTTGAAAGCCGTTGATCTAGCCCAAAAAAACGCTTATGAGACCCTCGTCTACTTTTCAGGCCCCTGTATTCGATTAGATCCAGCACTCCCGCCCTGCAGCAAGGCTTTACAATTTCAGCTCCTGCACCTCGCTGTGTAGATTTCTTTGGATTCTTTAGTGGTTAGGAGCATTTCTGCTTTGCGTTTTGCGGTGGAACTGGTGTTGTTGTTTTTTTGTTTCATGGGGCGGGTTGCATAATTAATGTTTCCCAGTTTAAGGCTGTAGGCTCCACGGTTTTTTTTGGTTGGAGCTGGGGATCATAACTTGGTTCGTTTCAACTTTCGGGTTCAGGGTTTCCTGGTCTCTAAGTCCCAAAGCGTCCTAGGTTGGGCTTCTATAATAAGCACTACTGTTGTGCGCTGGGTATTCTGTCAACCAACCGGTATCAGGTAGAACCAACGAGCTCCGAAGCCTTATTCGATGTGACACATGTGCCTTGCTTCGTTCAGTGCTGAACGGTCCTGACAAATGTTCTATGCCATGCATCAGTGAACAATCGATCAATTTTGCCCTACGTTATGCCATCTAGCGAGCCTCAAGCATTGGACCCTAAGTTCTCAGCTGAAGCCACCACAGCGCACACACCATTCTGACAAGATGCCGGACTTCCTTATCCTCGACCCTAAAACCTTAAACTCCACAAACCCCTTTACAGAACCCGTATAGGCTCCTTCTTTAAAAGAAGCCTATTGGATCCCTTTTAAAGGAACCCCAAACCCTAAAACCTTGAACCCTTTATAGAACTCTTGTAGATCCCTTTCAAAGGAACCCTGATGGATCCCTTTAAAGGAACCCTAAACCCTCAAACCTACTTAAAGGATCATGGGACTTAGTAACTAGGATTATAATTAGGGTAACTATACCTATAACTACTTATAACCCCAATTAGGGTAACTATACCTATACTTATAATTCCAAATAAAGTACTTATAACCTTACTTACTAAGTCCCATGATCCCCCAAGTATTCAAAATCAAACCCTAAACTCTAAACTTTAAACCAAACCCCTAAACCAGAAACCAAAACCCGAAACCCTAAACCCTAAACCCTAAACCAAAACCCTAAACCCTAAACCCTAAACCCTAAACCAAAGCCCAAAACCCTAAACCCTAAACCCAAACCCTAAACCCTAAAACCTACTGAGGAGCCTGATGGCCTTGGCTGGAAGCTCCGCCCTGGGATGTCTGCAGGGCAAGAGCGAGGAGGGGAAGAGATGAAACCGGGTCAAGGGGGAGGGCTTTGGGTTCCTTTAAAGTGATCTATAAGGGTTCTAGAAGGGGGAGGGCTTAGGGTTCCTTTAAAGGGATCTATAATTCCTTTAAAGGGATCTATAAGGGTTCTAGAAGGGGGAGGGCTTAGGGTTCCTTTAAAGGGATCTACAAGGGTTCTACAAGGGGGAGGGCCTAGGGTTCCTTTAAGGGGATCTATAAGGGTTCTATAAGGGGGAGGGTTTAGGGATCCTTCAAAGGGATCTATAAGGGTTGTAGAAAGGCCTTTATGTTTAGGGTTTTAGGGTTTAAGAAAGGGGGGTGTTGGTTTTGACGGTTGGAAGCGGTACAACGACAAAGTATGTGACGCAGTGCATGGTTTCTATTGCGTACCGGAGATCTACTGTGATACAAAGGTTCTATGCAGCGAGGCAGTTCAGGAGTTTAACATAAGGCTTAAACTTTGTGGCCTAATTACGAGCTTGTAGTGTTTTCGCTATTTAACTGCCATGGTTTAAGAGTAATGGGAGGTTTAGGGGGTCTTACAAGCAGGGTTTAGGCATTTCCATTGCAGGGCTGTTTGGATTCAGCTGAGTGCGGTTGCTTCTAATGTTGGGGTCGGCATTCACGGCCTCAGGCGGCCTCAGGTGTTCAAGAGTTTGCAGGTATTTGGCACATTGGAAATGAAAGTCAGAAATCACGGGTCTCGGAGTAACCAGCGTGTTTCTCGAGTCTTGCGGCAGTACCATGTTGCCATTAGGACGCAAAACTAACATGTAGCAATAATAGCAATACTTAGAACTGTGACTACAGCAACAATGCCCAAACTGATCACAAAGCGTATCGTGAGAGAGAACCACAGTAATTTGATATCCCTGCCACGGCGAAAGAACTGTCGACGAGAACGCAGCAACAACAACAACAACAGCAAAGGGGACGACGCTACAATCTCTCCAAGACAGCTGTGCTTGTTTGCTGCAGCTTCTCAATTCAGAACGGTCTTCTTCAGGCTTATCAAAATGGTCGCCACCATCATCATCACCATCATCATCACCATCACCGCCATCAACATCAACAACATCATCATCATCGTCATCATCATCGCCATCATCATCGCCACCATCATCGCCACCATCATCGCCACCATCATCAGCATCGCCACTGTTGATACAGCACAGTTCAAACTGCCAAGCAGCTTACTGAGCCAACTACCATCAATGAAGATTGTGATCATGGTCTACATCGTCGTCATCACATCGATGTCATCTTACCAAATCATAGTTCATGCCATCCCACACTCATCAGCGCAGTCAGTATTATTCGATTGTTTGCTACTGACGTCTATAAGACGATTAAGACGACGACGGCTACACTGCAAAATGCAGCAGTCTCAAACACTAAAGCCGAGTTTGCGACCTTAAGCATGCACCGTTGTATCAAGCCTAAACACACCCTAACCTCGCCTAGAAGCCTCAGTTCGAGCGCGCAGGTCCTCTGGGTTCCTGTAGATGAGCCGCGCTGGATCATGGGCTTCCCGGCACGATGAGCGTAGGATGTGGGGAGAAGAGGCACACAATAAAGCGCTTAAGACGGACAGTCTATGATTCAGCAAGAAATTGATTGCAAGGAGCGTTTGAACTCGAGGTGAAGGTTTAATTACAAGCTAGGATACTGGACTAGCAAGCTTTTTCATCAATCCCTCTATGCTCCCAGGGTTAGCCTGTAGTTCCCTAGGATACCGGACAATGTGATTAGGCTAAACATCAAGCCCTCCGAAACCCTACAACCCAACCCTTAAACCGAAGCCCTAAACCCAACCCCCTGACTGGATCTTGCTAATCAGAGGTCCTCCCACACCTTCCTGCCGAAGACAGGCAACGCGTCGGGCCCAATAAATCCCTAGCCGTTTAGATGTCTTTATGTAGGCTCAGGTACGACTCCTTATCACAGCGATCGTACAAATTGGATGGTGGTTGGGGGTTGTGTTATTCCTCATCGCAAACTGATTGTCAAGACCCGCCTATGATCAAGTAGGCTACGTTCAGATTTCAGGTATTGGTTTCGGGGATTATGACGAGACTGAATGGGGTGTTGGGTCGTGTGTATTCCAGAGGTTACTTGGAAGGGATATAGGGTAATGCAGACGACAGTCATCGAATTCGTGCAACCGTTTCATCCCACCTATAAACCAGTACTGCTCTCAACCCGACAAAACCATAAACCCTAAACCTTAAATCCCAAGAGACTCGAAGCTGTCTAGTTCCATAGCAAACTCAACATCCAGATCTGGGCCACTATACGGCCCGGCAGTCGCCGGCATGCCTACGGACCTCAGTATGACCTCGGTCTCGCACTAAAGTTGTGCCAGTACTGTTGTTACAATTCACCTTTCCCACTTTTGCATATGCTAAATTGTAGCATACTGCCTATCTGTCTATCTCTTCATTGTTCGTCTATCTGTACCGACCCTAAATCGGAAGCCTATAGAACAGAAACTACAGAAGAAGCCTCAATAATTATACTATTTCCGAGGGGTCCGTATTATGAGTATACCCGAACCGAGCCCACGACCCTAGTCTAATTATTAAAGCCCATACATACATATAGGTAGAAAATGTTTCAGCTTTGTTCCCCTCAAACCCTTACCCTGAACCAGGCGTGCTGCTTTCTAGAAGTCCTAGACACCGTCAGGCGGATAGAAATAGACATACTTGGAGGTTTATGGGTAGTTGCAAGTAGGGTTATCGGTTATAAGTCCCCTAATATGAGCTATAATTACAGTTGCATTACTTATAACGCCACTTATAACTACCCATGAACCTCCCCCTGAACCTTAACTCCGTCTAGAATCCTTATCGATCCCTTTCAAGGGGCCCTTAAAGGAAACCTTATCATAACTACCCATGAACCTCCAAGTAGGCGGAGAGAAATACCCCTAAACCCTAGACCCCAAACCCTAAAGCCCAAACCCTAAACCCTACAGTAGAAGCCAAAAAGTTGGAAACCCCAAGCCTCAATCCTTAACAGTCATGTATATGGAATCCCAGCACTATTTGGCCTTAATCCGGTTTCCAACTTTATGGGGTGTACCGTAAGCCCTAGAACAGGCCAGCTCGGACTCCCATCTGCAGAGCATCGTGGAACGCGTGCGGCAGACGTCCAGCAGACAGGCACGGGGTTGGGGATCTTTGAGCTTCGGAGTTTTGAGGTGGAGGTTTTAAAGTTTTTAGGATTTAGGAATTCAATTCTAAGGGTATTGGGGTGTGTTAGTGTTGGGGGATGGGTTGAGGTGCTGGGGGTTTGTAGTTTGCTTTCTTGGGGAATTGGGCATTGAAGATGTTTGGCTTGGGGTTCAGGGTTTGGGCTTGGCCTGCAGTGTCTTTAGCATGTAGGCTTCAGGCATTGGGTTATCATCGACCTGGCCAGCTCTACCCTGAACCCTAAGCCCTAAACCCTAAACCTAAACCCTAAGCCCGACACTGTATCAAGAAGCCTGGACAGGCTCTTACGGTTTGTATCGGTTTATAGCACCCATTGTAGCTCCTGTTTTGGGCTGACCAAAATTATATCTAACCATAAAACTGGCGACTATCTGGTGTAGGACCCTTTCCAACAGTGAGCAGAAGACCTTGTCTAACACGGTCGTACCACCCTCCCCAAAAAAGCGCTCGGCGTGCCGACTTGGAGGTTGCGTGTGCCGATGCGTTATCTACAGCAGCAACAACTACATCCATACCCATAAATAGCAGTCACCGCGCTTTTTGACGACAGCTGAGCAGCAGGAACAGCAGAAACAGAAATCGAGTATCGAGTGGCCTCCCTGTAGCCAGATGCGCACCGCAAGCCAGAGGGCCTCGCTTTCAGATCATCTAGATTCGTTTAGGAATTTATAGGGCTTATATGGTTTAGGGTTTGATTCACACGTGGATTGGGTTTAGGGCTTGATGGTTTCATGTGCATGGGTTTAGGGTCTAGGGACAACCAATCCGGAACAGTTTGCTCCGATCCCGAAATTTCAGGGCAGCACGTTTCATGTAGGATTTAGTAGGCGTTCTCCATGAGAAAGGTTTCCGCCAGCAGCCGACAAATCTCGACGAGCCGACAAGCATCGCAGGGCAGGCCGCCACAATCGGGGACTTGTTCTACACTAGGGGCCAAGTTTGGGGGCAAGGCTTTATAGGGTTCAGTTTCCAGGAGTTTCTGCCGAGTACAGGTCTTTGACATTTTAGGGGTTTAGGAAGCCGCCCGACCGCTGACCCTTAATATAGGGGCCTAAATAATTACCACTACTAGTATGGGGGTTCTTTGTTGGATGTATTCCCGATCTTATATCAAGTTGGTTCGCTCTCGTGCAGGCGGCCCTCCGACCGGAACGCAAATGGGTAGCGTTGTTGGACAAGCTGTGGAGCGGCAACTTGACCAAACTGCTGCGGCTGAAGCTGACCATGAAAGACTGTGCCGGAATTTTTGGTCTTTCGTGTCGGGTCCGCGGCTGTTTGTTGCCGCCGGGCGAGCAGCACTTGTGATTTCAAAGTACGCGCGGTGGAGGTTCCGTCTTGTAGGTTCCGGTTGCATTCGTGCCGATGTATCATTGCATGATTCAGAGGATCTAAAAGCGAAATTTTCCAAGTTCCTCGAGCTCTCGCCGCGTCGTGTCCACGACGTGCTCCCCGAAGCCGGCTTGTACATCTTCGACCATCAGGACGTGTTGTTTGCGAGTGGGCCAGTCTCAACCAGTTCGGCGCTGAACCTGTAATGTCCGTACATTGCTCCTTGTCCGTCAGGCGAAGAGTCGCAGAGGAAATGCTCGCGCTGCTGCCGCCGGTGGGGCAGACGCAAACCAGAGCGATTCCGACGCCCGGAGTCACGCGGTATATTTCTACATGCCCGGTAGATACCGCTAGTAGCGGTGCTGTCGGTCAGTGGACTGCTGTATCACTGTAGCATAGCGTGGGACGTTCTGTCATCGCGAGGTTGATACATGTGTCAATAGTCATAGGCAGATGGTTGTGCGATCGTAACTTCGGGACGAGGCTGTTCACGTGCCCGACCGTGGGCATGGTTTCGGTCTCAACCCTCTGGGGTCCGACGGCGGTGATGGTTCAACAATTTTGGATGCAGACCCGCAGCTTCGTGCCCGTACAAAGGACGATGTCCAGCAGTCTTAAAGTGAACCAACGCGCGCTTGTCGCACGCTAGTAACGCATCCACCTGGAACCTCTCACTCAGAGCAGTATAGCGGCCGCAGCGAGTGTCATCATGGCACGGAGGCGGCCACCCTTCCCGGACATCTCGAGTCCCAGGGATTTTGAATGTGCCCTGTTGTGTATACAGTCAGTCGCGAGGCTTACCTGGGAGAGAGAAACAGCGTGTCATCGTTCTGCACGATCGCGAAGCTTGCCTCCACAGCGCCGACTTTGGCGCGTTGGGCACCATGCAAGCGGCAATCCTTCGGAGCTCCGAATGAGTGTCCCTGGATGGAGATTGGCAAGAACGTGGTTTCGCGCGAAGATACCAAGCCCAGTAGAGCGGAGCTGCCGGGTTTGGGTGAGGGTCAGTGGCGGGGGGTTCGATAATCAAAATGGGCCCCAACACCCTATTCTAATTATTCAGGCCCCTACATGCTCCACCTGATAGCCTGAGACCGCTTGAACGCTTGAACCCGAGTTTACAACGTTTGGGATTAAATGTGCCGCGGCCCTGTAACCTAAAATTCACAACCAGGCCCCAAGAGCCGACAGGAGCAAGCAGCTTGCTCCCGGCTTGAACCCACAGTCCAGATGATGGGTTTAGGATCATTCATGGAGGAGGGATGGTTCAACAAAAATCCTTTCAACTTCCCATTCTGGACACCAGCCTTCTGGAATCGAGTCGGCAATTTTGAGCTACTTCCCATTACAGCACTCGCCTTCCGAGACTATACACTTGAGTTGTTGGACTTGATCTTGACACTATGCGTTAGAATGAAAACATGAAGCCCCAAAGCTTGAACCACGCCGGTTAGTCCTAACCCTGACTTCTTAGCCGAGAGCTTGAAACTGTCGGGTGTACGGTTTGGGTTTAGGGGTTCGGGGTTTGGCTTAGGAGGGTTTATAAGGCTCAGGGTTTACAGGGGTTAGGGTTTGGGTTTTCATAAACCACAAAAACCCAAACGTCTAAAGCAAAGGCGTTCCCAAATCCCGTTGTCTCAGCTTTCGGCGGCTCACACCCATAACCTACTTTGTTGCACAGCACTATTGTCAGACCTAGTGCGGAATTTAGAGGAACCCTTCGTTGGGGTTGAGGCCAACCTGCACCGAGATGGCGGAGGATATGCCTGTGGCACCAGGCCGGGATTGCATCTTCGCATCGTGGGGTTTAAGTTTCCATGCCCCTCCTGAACCTTACTTTACACTACCATGATATAGGTTCTGATTAAACCCCATATATGGAATTTACCGGGACCCTACAAACAAGTAGGCTTCGGTAGAATAAGGTAAACCCCCTTGACCTTAGACCCGCAACTCTTCCTGACCTGACGTCCGAAATCCTGAGCCAGGAGCGTTTCCCCCAGGAAAAAAAGATGTTCATGACTGGCTTCATATTTATGAACCAATGTCTGTGTTCAAGTTGCGCCGGAGCATCGTCGAAGGACGTCGGGCTTCTTTGCAAGTTACGGCTTTGAGCAAGACCTCCAGAGCTCATCGTGTACGGTGGGTTGAAGCTTACGATCTATCATACCTATATAATATCCCAGCTCTTTGCCTCCACCGTCACACTGCACCTCACTTGCACCGCAGCGCGATGTGTGTGATCCATTCGTGCGGCACCCCCAACCCTTGCTGCAAAACCCTGCAAAGTAAAAGAACCCCTCAGGGTCTATGTGCCCAAGCAGTACATACTTTGGGTCCAATGTACCAAACAAGGAATACTTTAAGGCCAAAGTATATACTGTTTGGGCACATGGACCTTTAGGGAACACTGTTGCGAGAGGCACAGGATTTTCTTAACCCCCCCATTGGTAACCCGTGCTATCATGGTCATTTTTGCCCATGTTTACCCATTTACCCGTATAGTGACATTAAAGGATACCTGGACTTACTTGGATGTTCATGGGTAGTTATAAACAGCGAGAAAACTAGGGAAACTCTACTTATAATTCATATTAGGGGACTTATAACCCTGCTTAATGCTTACGTATAACTACCCATGAACCTCCAAGTAAGCAGCCATAAAGATAAAAAACCCAAGCGAAGCGAGAGTCGAAGAGTCCGCGAGGCGCGTGCAGGGAAGGGAAGCTGGCCCTGCGAGCCACGGCCCAGGCGCGCTGAGCGTCTTAAGCGGAAGCTCCTTCTTAACCTACTACCAGAAGCTAGTTTAGGGTTTATAACCAGAACCTTCAAAAACTGAAGAGGTTATGGTGGTTTATGGTCGGAATTAAGGGTTTTCAGTTTGGTAAAAGCGTCTTGCAGGACTCAGGCTTGAAGGGTTGGGTGTAAGTTAGAGGTGGTAGAGCTCAGGACTCAGGTTGATCAGGTTCAGTGAGCTTAGTGTTTACGTAAGGTTTTTCTGCGGTTTCGGTACCTCATCTGGCCTACCACAACCTACTTTTTTGTAGGGTCTCCATAAGTTTCCATGTTCATCATAAGACTCTACAAACAGCAGGTTATGGTAGTTGAAAGTAGTACATACCAGGGCCTTTCAGGGGTCAGCCAGGGATTATAGCAGGGCTTTTCGGGCTTCGGGTTTAGGACGCGACGGGTGCTATGCTATTCAGGGTTTACGCAGGGGTGTCAGGGGTTCGGGTTTTAGGGTTCAGGGCTGAGGAACTTGGAAGGTGTCAGGTTGTCGCCGAGCCACCGTTCAGGATTTACGATTTTGCTGCTTCGGAAGCGCTTCGTTTAGGGCTGATGTGGTCGTGGTCGTGGTGTGGCGGGTGACGGTTCTGGTGGCGGTGGTGCTGCTGCTGGCTCTGGTTGTAGTGATGGTGGTGGCGGTGGCGATGGTGGTGGTTCTGGTTCTGGTTCTGGTTCTGGTTCTGGTTCTGGTTCTGGTTCTGGTTCTGGTTCTGGTTCTGGTTGCTGTTGTTGCTGCCGCATCTGGGCATGCTTCTGCCTTGAAAGAGGCAACCATGCAGACTTGGCTGGAGTTTGCGCATCTTAGCTGCAGCCAGTGCGTGCATCTACTTGGTTCAGAATCCAGAACAATCCAAAAGCCCAGACCCTCAACCTCAACCCTTTTGCTTCGCCGACTACGTCCTGGCCGTCCTGGTTGCTTTTTCTGCTGTTTGGTCGTTTGGTTTGTGGAAGGCGATGTGATCTCTGGGAGAAGTGGTGGAGGAAAGGGATGACTGCTTCTTTGTTATGGGCAAGTTCGTGTTTGACAGTGTGATGCGGGGTGCTCCCTGGACAAATCGCACTAAAACAATCAAACCGTTAAACCGTGTTTCATGGGATATTTTGGGAACGGACTTTTGTAAGGACTCATGTTGCCCTTCCCAAAACAAGAGTGTCAAAGCTCTCCGGATATGTAGCAAATCTTTTCACTTTTTCACAATACCAAGTTTCTGGATTCGGAGGTTCAGGGTTTAGTTTAGTCTTTCCATTACAGCCAGCTAGTAGCCTGGCGTTGTACGGCAAGGATGACGGTCAACCCTGGACCCAGCGCGGCACGAACCTCAACCATATCCCTCACACCTGTAAGGTGAGCAATCGGAAACTTTAGACGGCAATGCTTCGAAAGGAAATCCTAATCCCTAAACCCTGAACACCCATCCCCGAGCTCACAAACATCGAGGGTTTGGTTTCAACCTTGGGCTTCAACGGTCGACCCGATGATCTGATCTGGCATGGTTATGAGCAGAGCTATACTGGGTTCTAGACTACCTTACACGTGTACTATAAGGTTATGTCCCCTAAACCCTAAACCCTAAACCGTGGTTCAATAGGGGTTCTGGAGTACCATGCTTAAATGCTTTGTTTTGACCTGTCCCTCGATAGAGCCATGATGAAACAACAGTCTATACTTGTTTCTCCTTGTTTGTTTCAAAGTCCAGTATATATATACATATATATATATATACATATTTAATTTGTTCGCATATATATACACACACAATATCATTTGGTTGCCAAATACCTAGTGCCCTTGTAACTTGTATATGTTTCTTTCACATGTTTCCTCGTAGTGCATACTTGAACCCCAAACAGCTGGTAACCTGCTAACTTACTGATTACAGTTACATGAATTGTATTTTACCTTGCCCAAATATCACATGAATTTCCTTATATAGACTTCATTCGACTTCTAAAGTCCCCTATGTCGCAGAGCTCAGCAGTTACAGCGGAACCCTACAGCGTTCCGGCTGTTAAGACCCCTATACCTAAACCCCTAAAGCCCCAACCGCTCAACCCCAAACCGCTAAACGCCTAACACCCAAGCGCTTAAAGCATCCTTTGCAATGGCTCGAAAGAGCCCCTACATTACTTTTAGGGCCCGGGGTAGACTGGACTGACCTTGAAGCTCAGGTACGTGTCTCGCGGCCTGTTGGCCGCATCAAGTTTGCCGGGTTCAGGGGTTCAGGGATTTACGAGTGCTGAGCGGCAGCATAAGCAATTATGGTATGCCCTGGCAGGCGTTTAAAGGCCAACCAAATTCCAGGCATTGGCTTGTTTTTTTGACCAGCACAGTATTCACATTGTTTAGTACAGTAGTCGCAGTACTGCTACCAATGCCATGAGCTTGCTTCCAGATTTCCGGGCGCTACGTGTGCACAAGTGAATCTGTCCCGCGCGCTCAGCATGTAGGATCGCGAGCCTCATGCATCGGTGAAGTATGCTTATGTTGTAAGGACCAAAGGGTCCGAGTATCATTATGTTATAGCATACTTAGACCCCCGAAATACCCTATGAGTATGTGCCATAATGATACTTGGACCCTTTGGGAGGATTATTTAGCCCATGTCTTCCGAAGCCTGAAGCTTGGTACGAACCTCTAGCACGCTCCTGTCGTGTGTGCCTACATTGCTTGTGGCTTTTCGGCTCCGGTGATTTTCAAGTTCCCCAACATCTACAGTCAGCCTTTGACAAGAGTTGCTTAGCTGCGAGGATCTCAGCCCCACACCCTCTTCCTCCGAAGCACTTTGCCACGGTGAGTGCGAGGTGTTTTTTGGGTCCTCCTGGGCGGTGCAAGCAGTTTGGCCGTGAGCTCAGGGTAGGTCTGGCAAAGTTTGAAGGATCAAGGGACTTAGTAGGTTAAGTGCGGTAACTGCAGGTATCGTTGTTTCCAGGCCCAAGTAAGGTCCTTAGCGCCTGACTACAGTTCTGGAGCACCGCCAGCAGCAGCATTCTCAACATCAACAGCAACAACAACAGCAACAAAAACAACAGCAGGCCAAGAAGAATCGACTCGGGTTTGGAGCTTCAGGGTTTTGAGATTCCAGACCCCAGCCCAGACCCCAAACCCTAAACCCTCGAAGGCAGAGGAGGAGCAGAACTCTCAAAGATTCTGGGGAGTCGACGCCCTTTGCTTCTCCCAAAGGGTCCTAGGTACTGTTATGGGGGATATTTCCCCAAATCATAATTTTAATTCCCAATATAGAAACCCTACATTTTACTATATAGGTACTTTGGACCCTTAGGGTCTGATTTTTCTTTGATGCATAGGTTGCTGACTGCAACCCTAGACAGGTTTTAGGGGTGAGGGTGCAGGGTTCATGTTTGATATGCACGGATTAACGCAGCCATCAAGACAGCCACCTCGTCCAGACAACCGCAAGAAATCATAGTCCCAACCCCGAAAACCTTCATCTCCACAATAAGATTGTTTTTAAGCCTGGACTGTGTAATCACCCGAATTGTGCATTTCAAAACGGGGCACCACCCCCTGAAGCCTCAAATTCTCAACATCAAGCCTGCCAGAAAAGAACCCAAACCATAACAAGCATGTCAACCCAAGGCCCAAGGAACGTACACCAACGAAATGCGGCAACAAAAGCATCAGCAACGCCTAAAGCCCTAAACCCCAAACCCTAAAGCCTAAACCCTAAACCCTAAACCAGCACAAGCAGGTCTGCCTGGAGCTGTGTCGGCAGACCTCCTGGCTGTCCCACTGTTTTACACTCGGCCGGTGCAGCCGGTGAGCGACTGTGAAACGATGCCCCAGTCCCAAGTTAGAATAGGCTTCCTTTAAAGGGCTCTCTATATAATAGAAGGGTTACTATAAGGGATACTACAATAATTGCCCCAGTGTAACCCTAAGACACCGAGGGGGTTTAGGGTCGGGTTATAGGGGCCTTAATAATTAGAATAGGGTTTCTTTAAAGGGGTCTATAAGGATTACTAGAAGGGGCATGAGTAGGGTTTACTATACGGGGCTTAAGTACCTATACCATGAGGGGGGGTTCCTTATTATAGTTATGGTATAGTATACCCCAAAACTGTTCTAACTATTAGGGCCCCAGGTTACATATGACATGGTTAGCAACCTACTATTTAAGCAATTGGAGCCCTATGGAAAGCCATTGCCAGTCCGATAGCATCGTTGTCCATCGTTGCATGTCGCGGCCGAGCGCACCTTGGTCGAAGATGAGTGCGAACAGTGCGAACAACGGGCCCAAGATGTGGTTTCGGTAAGGGTTTAGGGTCTAGCATTCTCTGCAGGTCTAGGATTAGACCCTAAACCCTAAACTCTAAACTAGAACCGCACGCCTAAATCCCAAGCCTTGCGGTTTAGGGTTCAGGTCAGGGCTTTGAGCCAGGCCAATGACAGTTCGAAACGGTTTTGCTACAGCGCGTGAGGCCTAGCAAGTGCTGAATTTGGTCTTCCAGCAAGATCAGGGCTGAGACCAGTGAGAGACAGAAGCACGTTTTTGTGGGTTTAGGGCTTTAGGGCTTGTAGGGTTCAGAGTGACAGAATCAGATTTCTTGACTTGAAGCTGACAGCGCTTTGCAAGAATAAGCAGAAAATTACCACAGTACGTACGAGCTTTTTTGTCAAGGCATTTAACAGTGATCAATAACGATGAGAAGTCTAAGCATCAAAGGACTGCAGGAAACGACAGCATCTTGTGCAGGGTACTTCGCGTTTAGGGCTATGGTTCAGCTTGGCCTGCACTTCTCGACTCCGACTGAATGCAACAGGAGGTTAGCCATCCACCGCCAAACCCTAAAGCCAAAGCCCCTAATGCCCTGAACCGATTGAGAGTGGCCTTCTGTGGGCCCTGTTCGACATGTTGTACCAGGCATTCCTTGTTTTCCCATGCACTCGCAATTCTGTTCAGGAAAGCCTCTGGGTTGATCCTGAACCTGACTTACCCGTAGCCCGCAACGAA